GTAGTTAGTAGAGAGAGAGAGAGAAGAAAGTTAGTGATTTTAGTAGAGAGAGAGAGAGAGAGAGAGGCGAATGGGTAGCTCCGTTTGGGGGCGGTCTAACACATATTATTGTGAACATCCTTCGTATACGAAGGGTAGGGTGTAGCGTGGTCCCCTACGTGGATACATACATCACAGCTGGGTTTTTGTCGCCACGCGAGGCAGATAGCGACACGTATTTGCGGTCCCCACTTGTACGTCTTGTCCCTCTCACGCAACCCCCTCTCTCCCTCTCTGTACCGTTCTCTCTTTCTCTCTCTGCAACTCCCTTGGGTTCCGTGATGGAGAGAGAGAGAGGCTCGCCCGCTACCCGTTGGAGTGGTTACCGACCGGCAGCCGTTGGCCCGGCGTCCACGCTACTCCAACTCCCCAACTTTCTCTCTCCTCGTTTTCCAATCTCCACAATCATTTCGTATGATATTATACGCAAATTTCACGAAGTTTAGTGTAGCCAAAAGGAATCCACATTTTACTCGTGTTTATGTTTTAGTTGTGCAAATAAACTTAAAATAATACCAAATCTTGTCATTTTGTATTTTCTCAATTATTTGAAAAACCTTGGTCTGATCGGTATCGTCGATTCAAATCGATAATCAAATAATATCAAATCAGTTTCTATAAAATATCGGGAATAGTTGGTCCCCGGAACCAACTAGAACTCACCCCACTTTTTCTTTATTTTTTAAAATTTTTGATATCCAATTTAAAAGTCCAGATCGTCGATCTCTCGAACTGGATTGGAATATCAGAGGGGCGATCTAGATCATTGGACCTTGTTTTTAAACCTTCTTCTCAAAGTACTAGTATAGGGGCAATGATTTCATGCAACCGTTGGATAGTAATATGATGTAACAACCTTAAAAAATCATCTTATGGCCATTTGTTTGATCCACATTTGGAAATATACACTCTTTTCATTCTAATGAATAATCACAAAAGAAAGAAAAAATTGAAAACACAACATAAAAAGTATTTTTTTAGCCCAATTAATATAGGCCGTTCATTTTAGTGAGATGTTTAGATCTAGGCTTTAGAAAGATTTTTCCATTTCCAATTTTTTTGGATGGCTTTATTATCATTAGATGAACAATGTTAAAAAATAAAAAAAAAATTAATTTTGAGAAGATCTTGAAGTTTACAAAATGAATGGTCTATATTCGTTTTTTGAGGAGACCCATTTTGACCATATATATAGTTCAAATTGAACTCTTTTTTTTTAAGAGATTGATTATTGAGATAAAGAGCGTGTACGTGCAAAATTTAAAGATATAAAAATATCACAAACATAATTTTTTAAAAGTGTAGCTGCAGTATAGCACGATACAACCATTGTATTGAATCATTGTATACTAGTTTATTCCCTACAACGTGATTATGTGGTGTTTCATCCAAGAAAAATGTGGCTTGGGAGACAAGTGTCTCTCCAAAATGGGCGGTGATGACTCCCGAGTATTATGGTTTCCCCGTAGTCCTCATGATTATATCATATTTTGAATGTTTCATTGAAGTTTGGGGCATTTATGATAATTTCATATTTTCAATAATAAAATGCGTTTTGGAGTTAATTGTAAAAACGACAAAACCTTGTAGAAAGACATGACGCCGTATCATGCAATAATTCGGATTCCGTTTTTATTTTATTGTTCCATTAGCATTACAATTATTACGTCATAATATAAATGAGGCTTTGATAAGGCTCCCAAGACTATGAAATATTGGAAATTCTAGCCTGAGAATAACATTCTAAATAATATATTACGAGATGCATTACTTTAAAAGATTTGAAATTCTTTTTTTCGTATTCATACATTTCGAGGTCGACATGATCAATTGGAGGGTTTTCCCATGCCAGAAGATTTTGGTGTTATGCTTCAATTCAATAGTATTAGGTTGATACCTTATATAATTTTTTTCTTTATAATAATTTATTACACCATTCAGAATAAATGAATTAATGAATTCTAATCTAATTATTAATTGGATTCAATTATATAGTTATAAACAAGAATTTTTTTTATATTAGAAGTTATTGGAAGACGGTTTAATTTTTTTCATATTTGTATAGTAAAATAATTATAAACTAATAATGCTAAGTATAGAGTATAGTATTATGGTATATATGCAAACGACATTTGAAATATTCCACACAAGAAATAATATAAATGTCTGAATGTAAAGGGAATTACATTTGGAATGAAATTTTTAAATGAAAGCAATAAAATTCGACTCATCAGACCAACTCACAAAATCATTAAGGTGTAATATCATCTAATTTGAGTGTTTGAATGTTTATTTTGCTTGATTTATTTCACTAAGTAGAACCTTAGAAAATTAGTTTAAAAATCCTCAAATTTTCCATTTTTCAATTTTTTTTAAAAGCCTAACTAAGTAGAGATATTTCGGTAATTTGTACAACTTAATTAGAAAGTTATGGGTCTAACCCCATTTGATTAGGTTTAGGATATTGGAACTTTCTTTTTTTCATTGAAAATCTTTTACTCCATATTCCTAAGTCTGGATAAAGCAAGCATTATTGTTGCTGCTCTTTAAGAATGGGTATGGGCCCAAGTAGAATGATGGTTCTACCACTCTTTGTTGATAACAAGAGACGATATCCACATAACTTCGCCCGGACCACTTAAACTTTACTAACTGCCCCCACTTGTTTTGGACTCCTAAAACCTAAAGAGCGTCCCTTCGAGTTGTCATCGTCAAGTCTTTTTGTAATTATTTGAGAATCGACTACATGAATCATGATCCGTTATTCTACTTTATATAGAGTCATATTTTCAGTGAGACTGTAAACTCTTATATCTTTAACATGATCAATTTGAGCATTTCTTAATAGTGTGGAATACAATTTATAAAAAAAGTATTATAACATCAAATTGTATTACTTGACCAGGTCAAATGATTTTGTAGAGTAGTTGGACCATTTGAGTGATATCTTACCCTAGAGAAAAATAAAAAGGTAAAGGAAAATTAATCCTTTCCCTCTTGTACTTTTTGGCATGATGAGCGGCATATATGGCTCCTGGGATTCACATTATAAGTGTTGCACCTTTTCGGCCCTACGAGGGAGAACAATTCACGATAAACTTAATTTACGATAAACTTTTGCTCTACTTGAGATGAAAAAAAACTAGATTGGCAACTAAAATTCAGACTTTCTATTCAACATCCCACAACATTTGTAGTTTATTAACGATTGGCCTGCACGATTAAATAAGGAAATATTATACAAACCCTCAAGACCTAACATTCGAGGCATCCTCACCCCTAATACTATTTAAACTACATTACTAACCCCAACACTACTTTTTTTGCTATCTACTCCCCCAAGTAAAAAGAGAGTAACTTTTTATGATAAAAATACCATTCTCTAAAGACGTGTTTCGCTTTGGTTGTTTGTCCCTATTGAAGCTGGTCTGACATATTATGTTGCACTAGCTTTAATAAGGACCAAGAGCTAGTCATGTACGTATTGTACCGAACTAGCTTCATTGCTTATAATGAAGCCGATAAACATAATGCATACCAGATTAACATCAATAGGGATAAGGCAGTCTTGACACACATTGCATTAGACTTGTTTCATTGCTATAATAAGGCCGGTTTAACACAATTTGTGTCAGATTAGCTTTAATATGGATAACCTGGTTTGACACAATGTGTGTCAAACTGACTTCAATAATGTCTACAAAAAAAAAAAAACTACCTTTTATTTTGCGGATAGATGCCAAAAAAAAAAGAAAAAAAATAGATTTAGTGATGTGGTTTAAACAATATTGAAAGTGGCATACCTAGAAAGTTGAGTCAATGCGGTATCTATAATTTTCCCATTACACAATTTTGAAAGTAGCATACCTAGAAAGTTGAGTCAAGGCGGTATCTATAATCTTCCCATTACACAATTTATCATGTGAGGCATGGAAATGGTATTCCCACGAGAGTTTATTGGGTGCCTTGTACAGTCAGGTTATTGGGTTATTCCCTTTCTATAATCAGGTTAATGGGTTATTCCCATGGCTATGGTATTCCTTTTCTATAATTAGGTTACTGGGTGCCTTGTATAAGTCCTGGACTCGTGCTCAATTTATTCTTTTTCCTGTTTCAATATTTTTCCAACCTCCTTTGTTTGTGCAAAATAAATGTAATGAAATCATTGAAATTAAATTTTTCTTAGATAGATTAACTAACTCAAAAAGCCAGGCTGATTGTGGATTTAGAGGTTGCAATTTAAACGAAAAAGTATAATTATAGAAAAACATGAATAAATAAAATATAATTTTGGCAAAATATAACTTAAATTGATGTGATATTTTCATGAATATTTGGATATTTCTTGTTGAAAAATTGTACAAAGAGTCCATTTACTTTTGGTACAAATAGGTCGCAATCACTCATGTCCATCAGATTTCAAATTGAATGATTGTAAGTGTGTCACTAACCATATTAAAAATTCAAATAAAAATTTCTCAATCTTCATAACAACTCAAACCGACTAAGATGAAATCGGATGGCTAGACGTATTTGTGACATCCTCATAACAAATGTAACTATTCTCCTATTAGATATTCTCTTTGTTGTTTTATACCCTTGTTGACCATCAGTTTCATCGCACATTGGAATATCTTTACCACTCTTAAGCTGGAGACGGGAATTGGGTTGGGTAGCTTGATTTTGTTGCTCCCACTGGAGCATTCTGTATCTTTTCTCTCTCTAATCAAATTCAAGTTTTAGACCGCAGATTTTGGGATGTAACTTTAAAAGAATAAGAAGGCATTAAATCGCATTCTTTATGTAACTTAAATAACGTAAGATTGAATAGGCACCCTCTAATTTTTTTAAAGGCCAGAATTAGGTTTTCAAGAAATTAAAATCTAATTTTCTTGAAAATAATCATTTAATAAAATGAATGCTCCTGCGGGAACACTCTGTATAACAACTCCGTCAGGTAAATTTGAACTTTCTTATAGGTGCTACTATTTGATTCAGATAAGGACATCGTTTCTATGTGGTCAGCCAGCATAATGTGAAAATGTGGGTTTGGTAATAAATATATTTTTAAAATATAATTTAATTCTATTTGTTTAGAGAATGTATAATATGAAACAAAAAAAAAAAATTGAAAACTAGAAATAATAATTATGTTAAAAAAACATTTGGACAGTTAATTACACTTGTTTTTAGATGGACCACCTATTTGCATCCATCTTTAAGATGGATGCTTTATACCCCCGGACCGCATATTGTAGAAATGCGGTCCAGCCCGTAAGAAACAATTTTCCTTTAGATAAATAACCCCGTAGTGTTCAATTCGAGGTGAACCAAAGACTGTATAAGGCAGTGAAGTGTGAGCCTCAACCCTCAATAGGGGGCGCCAATTAGGTTGGGTTGACCTGACAATCCAACAGGACCTGATCCAGGTCCGTATCTGGGTCCGGGTTTTGGACCCGATGGGTCGGGTCTAGGTCCTGACCCTAGACCCAAGTCGGATACAGGTCACCGAGACTTGACCCAAACATATATTTGCACACACATATTTAAAATAGGGTGATGTTTGTATAGAGCCGAGGCTCTAAATGATCAAATTAGAGCCCACCTTTAAATAGTGTCGAGAAATATGATTTTAATTCTGGAAAGTTTTGTGATAACCTTAAATTATTTTTTCATCTTTAGTTGTAAACTTTAAAGCTTCAAAAATAGTGTAGATCGAGTAGATATGTGAAATCTTGAAAATATTGAAAATTGACGGTCCAAAAATACGTTACAAGATGCACTATTTATGAAACTTGAAATTTATTTATTTTCTCATGTCCATGCATCTTGATGTGGAGATGATCAATTTGATGTTATTTGGGTATCAAAACAATC